GGAGTATATATTTATTTCAAATATGCAAATAAGAATACAAAATATCAACATTAAAAATACTATGACTTAAAACTATTACAATTTAACCGGTTTTCTAACTAAGCAATAAATGATTTACATAATTTCCTTCCCTGGTCGAATGACCTCGACGATAGCAACATTGAATTTGTAGGCTAAGTAATTTAAAACTTATGAGTAATTCAAAACCCATCCTGAGAACCAGCTTTCCTTACACGGAAATAAATAAATTTAAACATTCTCTTTCTTTTAGTTATAAGTTATCCAATAACAAATGTAAGAGAGAATTATTGATATTTTGTAAGACAGTATACAGTAGAAGAGTGGAGCATGCTCTATTGACTTTCTGGTTTATCTTCCCCTATGGCAAGATTGTTGGAGGCAATATTTCTTAATTATGTGATACCAATATCCAAATTATGAATGTGTTATGTTATACTTAGGACATCATATATAGGTAATAAGGATATCTAAAACAGGCAATTTATAGTAAACAAGTGTCACATGATACAGAGAAGTCAAGATTTAGAAGTTATTAAAATATTTCCTTTTGAAATTAAAACTTGTACATCAAAATTTGATTTATTAACCGTGTTTTGGTGCAAAGTTTGATATACAATGATAATAAAGTAATTCAATTAAATTTTTAATGTAAAAAAGTCGTGACACACAATTTGACCAACCTTTATCCACTAGGTTTAATTAACCTTTTATCATCCATGGAAGGGTTTTTCCATTACCGTACTTGTCGTAAATATACGGGTGGAGATGAAGTCTAGCATGCGTAAATATACGGGTGGTAATGATGTCTAGCATGCTTAAATATACGGGTGGAAATGACAATTGCTCCACTGCAGAATTGCATCAAATCTTACATGTAAAATCAATATTTTTTTTTGGAATCCTCCAATGGGTCAGCAATAAGTTTACAGACTCACAATACTAGAAAGAGAGGTTTTATTAAATTTTTGTGTGCATTTACTGAAGTAATAATTATTTTAAATACCACAAAGCAAAATTAATCTGTCTAGCAAAAGAAGAGTTTACTTAAAGCTGTGGTAACTTTAACAGTTTGAAATTGGTTATTTAGATTCACCAAAAATGAATAATAACCATTTAAGTCATGGCCACTCTGAGTCGAGCACCCCAGTTTTAAATGGATTTAGTAAGGAAGGAACAAGATCAGATGCAACTGAACAAATCCTCTTTGGAAACCCTCAAGAAATCGGATGCTATGGTACTTTCCAATATTTACATTAAATTGTAGAACTCGCTTTCTATGCCCTTAACTCCAGTCAGGATAAAAAGCAACGCAAGAAGCCAAACGCTCTTGAATGAATTTAAGTAGTGATATACTCAAGTACAACTATGTTTAAGTTCATACAAGAGGTAATTAAATTACTGACAGTTTAAGTTCATCTCTTTAAAATGTATGCATTTTTATTAAATTTTGGTTTGGTTCAATGAATATTATGATTGTTAACTTAATTTTGGGTTGCTTTAAAAAGAATTGAGTATATATGATGCATTTATGTTAATTTTTTGTTTTATATATCTTGCAATTGCTATTATATACTTGTTACGTTAATTGCTATTATATACTTGTTACGTTAATTGCTATTATATACTTGTTACGTTAATTGCTATTATTTTCCACTTTAAAGTTAAAATCTTTAGACAAGTTACAGAGACTCATCTGTGAACTTGGAGAAGATACCTCATGACAGGCCTTATTCACTTGGCCATTAAAAGATATAAATATGTCTATAAATGACATCACAAACTGTGAATTGTGTGTACTCATTCATTTCTCATTGTAAATAAATGTGGTGGACTCTGAATCCATGTAAATGTTCCCAAATATGGGTGTATGGTCTTGAACATTTGCTGTCACTCGAAACATATGCAGGAGTACAAGGTCTTCAGCAAGGGTATCACCTGATGCAAAATTGTTTGGATTAATAGCATGTTATCTTATCAAAGAATTGAATCTACGACAGCCAAAACAACTTTCATGTATTTGAAAAGCCTGTTGGTGTTATTATACAAGTCACTATGTTAGAAATTTTGCATATTGCCAAACACAATTAAATTATAACTCTGAGCCACTTTTAAGCCCTTTCCGTAATTAAAACTACTATACCAAATGTAAACATTTGTGGTGAGAGTACTTTACTTTTAATAATCATGGAAATCAAGATGACAATAAGCTTATTCCCAACAGGGTTTTCTCAGTTATCAACTAATTACTTTTTTTTTTCAGTAGAGTAAAGGTACTATTACGTAAGTACGTATACAATCAGATAGTAGATAATTAAAAGTTTCACATTTCATAACTTTTGGGCCATAAGTTTAGCTCTGCATGTTTAAGAAATCCTCTGGTCAAGTTTCATGTTTAAAGCAATCTCAAAATAGAGTTAACATGATCTTATATCTCATATGCACATACACATCCACTAATCAGAAGCTCACGATCCATGTTTTCTTGGACTCTTCCATAGAGATAGTATGACAATCTCCAACAATCTACCCAGCAGGTTTGGTGCACACTGAATTATGTTCTCACATTACTAGCAGCCCAAAGATGATTGGGAAAATATGGACACTTAAGTCAGAATATCTTCAATCTCTGGTAGATGATTAACACTTCTATTAAAACAGAACAATAAATCCAAATTCTAACTTGCCTCAGATACAATACTTAAATGTCTCCATAAGCCTTCATGAGCAAATCTAACAAGGTATTCAAATGACATTTGGGAAACATGTCTCATTAAGCAGCTTCTTTAACAGCAAACTTAAGCAACGAGTGGTGCACAAGAAATGTAACTGGAAAATTAGCCATTCTGGAACAGGTGTTTTTTGACAGTGATGACACCAAAAATAAAAAAAGTTTGCTCAGAGTTTTGGAAACATCCATCCAATATGGACTTAAGAGATTCTGCTCTTTAGACCTTGGGGAAGTATAGTAAAAGGTGGAATTAAGCAAGGAAGATCAGATCCTTATAAAGAAAATTTCTTCCAAGGCAAGTTAAATGGAACGATCTATGAAGAAATTATTGTAAGGAAGATAATCTTCCAGGATTTCAAATCTATGAGAATATAGATCTGGAAAGTAATGTAGAAACACTAATGAAACATCAAATATACCCATGAAACAGCATATGAATTCAACAATATTTTTCTCCAACAAGCAACGTATTGCACTTGCTACAGTAAGATTATGAAAAGAATTACAAGGTACATAAAACGTACAGTTACTAAGTATTAATATCCCTCACAAATAACAATAACTTGTGACATTTTTTTAAAACAAAAATATATCATAATGCTTTGAATACTGAAAGTTTTGCTAGCTAAAAACATAAAATCCAAGATGCAAAAAAACAACGTATACACTGATAGGGAAAAAAAAAAAAGATTCCAAGTAAACCATAAGACAAAAAGGTGGTTACATAATGTTCTTTCACAGAAAGAAAGCCACAAGAGTACCACTACTACAACATATCAAATAGTGTTATGTAATTAGAAAAATTTAATTCAATTTCAGCCTTCTAAAACTAATCAAACACACAAAAAACTATAAATTGAAAAAAAAAAGCCTTCATTTCCTCCACAATCTTGTAAAAACAGATGCACCTTATATCATAAACAATGTTTTACTTGTTCTCAGCTAACAACTTGTGTTTTATGCTTAAACATAGATCTTCCCATGTCATATTCCACCCACTGCTTATCTTACACTGACTACAACTGTACATTACTACATATATGTTCAGAAAGAAAGCCACAAGAGTACCACTACTACAACATATCAAATAGTGTTGTGTAATTAGAAAAATAAAATTAAATTTCAGCCTTCTAAAACTAATCAAACACACAAAAAACTATAAATTGAAAAAAAAGCCTTCATTTCCTCCACAATCTTGTAAAAACAGATGCAACTTATATCAAAAACAATGTTTTACTTGTTCTCAGCTAACAACTTGTGTTTTATGCTTAAACATAGATCTTCCCATGTCATATTCCACCCACTGCTATCTTACACTGACTACAACTGTACATTACTACATACTGTATATGTTCAGAAATACCTCTCACCATAAAAGAAGTGATGAAAGAGAACCACAAATAAATAAATTTAGTAAGAAGCACACAAAAAAATTACACCAATCTATACTGTGGATCATGGAAAGACTTCTTACAGGATTTACTATAAGAACATGACAATGTATGAGCAAGCACATATAGCTGTAATATAATGCTACTTTGTTATACCAGTATGAAAATGCTTTTAATTTCTTTAATTTCTCTTACAAAAAAAATCCCATTTACATTTATGAAAAACCGAGAAACTGCCCCATTGTATTACATACATTACCTTTAATACTTTTGATAAAAATCTTTCATGAGTCTGTTAAGCTCCCAAAAATTACACAATGTATAGAAATGTATATATATATATATATATATACTACTGCTGTACCGTACATCCGTCCGTTGGCCGTACAGCAGACTCTTACAGGAAACGTTACAGTGTAACAGTGGGTACGTTTATTTAGATCTA